CAGTCCAGGCAAGTTTACATACGACTGAATATGACCAAGATCAATTGAGCGTCCAGGATTCGTTCGATGTTATGCGCACTACGTGGGCATCCAGCTCTGCAGAAATAAGAATGAGAAATAGAATCACATCTCACCAAATTGGCGAGTGAATTGTTAGACGTGAGCGTTCCATTACGTGCTCCAGTGAAAAAGGGAAATTTCACATCAAATGTTTGGCAAAACTTATTTCATCCACACTGCTAGAGATGGGAATAGTTCCAGACATCGCTTATCAAGTGAAATCCAAAGGTCTGCACTGTTTGCAGGTTGACTATTTCCTTGGGAAGCCCACTTCGATACTCCTTCATGATTTTTAAGGCTTCTATCAGGTCTTCTCGAAGTCTCGTTCTTTCTAATCAGAAAATCCTAGAGCATCCAGTCTTCCTCGAACACTACTGAGTATTGTGGAACTCCGCTAGTCAGCTGAACTGGTGTTGACATTTATCAGTAACCGTCACAGAATGACCGTTATGAGAGAGAGGCGCCTATCCACCTGCACAACTGTACTTGGATTCCGAATCCTTATAATTTGGTCAAAAACAGGCGATGATTCACTGAATCAAAGCCTTGCTGTAGTCTGGGTAGCAAACCTTAACGGCTTTACCTTCATTTACTTTTGCAGTAACATCCTCCAAGAAGCACAATCGGTTTGTTTGACTTCAACGCTGCTTAACGAAACCATGCTGTTACTCTGTTGTGAGTATATTCGGCTCCAGATGTTTCAATAGGTGCGTTTAAACTATCTTTTCTAGTACCTTGCATAGTACGCTAGTTAAACTAACATGTCGATAGTTCTTTACATCTGTCTTCTGATCGCCTTTGTGTATGGCTACTACTGAAGCTGTTTTCAAGCCAGACAGTCAGCTTCCTTCAGCTAGTGATGCCCTAAAAATGTTGCAAATCTGCCCCGCAATGATATCAGCAATCGGCCTAATGATCGCTGGGCTAATTCCGTCTGATCCTGGAGCCGTGGATACCATAAGACCACCTGGTACCTCCGATACTTGATCCACTGTGACCCGTTGTATCTCTACTACGTCTGTCGCCGAGGGCTGGAAAGCACTTGACTCACCAGTGACTAATCTTTGCACATTGCTAAAGTAAGCCTAAAATGCATCAGCTTTACTCTGGTTTTCAGTTATGACCTTAATTCCCTC